GATGCCAATGGCATAATAATAATTCACAATTTGAAAAGTAACAGTTTCTTTGCAAGATGGGAAAGCAGGGATAGCATTTGGGGAGTCTTAATTAATCTCCCAAAAGTTCCGTAAAAAAATCTCTCAAGGTTCCTAAAAGTTCCCTAAAAGTTCCCTAAAAGTTCCCTAAAAGTTCCCTTTTTTTCCCGGGATTTCCAGGATATCCGTGTGAAAACAGTTTTCAGTTTTACCGCGTCATCAGTAATTAGCGCGCGTTTCACAACCTATAGTCGGGTTTGGCGGTTTCGGTTTCGCTAAATGCCCGGATTTGCCACACGGTCCTGCTAGAAAATGGGAATCTTGGAGACGGAATCTTGCAAAATCATATTAGTCGTACAAATCACTTGTTAACACATATGGACTATTCAAAGAACATCATTTGTGTTTGCGGAGGGTGGGAGCGTTCCACACGTCAAGAAAATATTCTCTAATTGAACTAATCTCCCTTTAATTGATTTTGAATCATCCTGCGTGTTAGAATATTCGACGCTCCATAACAACTGGCGGATTGGCTGGCTCGCGGACGACTGGTCCATGGATTGACTTGGATATCAAGCCGTGGACCAGTGGTCCACAAGCACGTCGAGCCGTGGACCAGTGGTCCATCCAATCACATTGCCCCATTCGAATTGCCGCTGCCGGGATTTGCAGCCAGTTGGCAAGAAGATTGGCGGGAATGCCCGGCAAAAACAATGACAATCCAAACGGCAGATATTACAATCAATGTTGTGCATCACATTGAAACGCTTGTCCATGACCAACAAACGTCCATCGGATGGATTCGCCCACTGCTTTCTGGACCAAATGGTGGAATCTGGCGCAAACAAGCTGCCCAGCAATCTATGGCCATGTCAAATAAGGCATTTGTTGGAGATGAAGTGAATGAGTGGTTCGAGCACAAAAGAGAGCAACACGAGGCTGCTGAATGTATTTACCAAGCCTTGATGGCATGGCACAAGTTCTCTCCTGACAAACAGCCTCCCTCAGTGCTTTTACGTGCCATTATCTAATGGGTGTCTGTTGCGATATCAATGTGGCTTTCCTCCTTTTCGAGAAAGACTTCCAAAAGTATTTTTGTGAGCTTAGCCCAGGGGATTTGACGTTTGGCCAAGAACAAGGTTCATGCTGAATCCTGGTTTGCGTTTTGTAGTAGTGGCGTTTTAAGTAGGTCCTAAATTAGCTGAACAGTCATGAAAAATTCAAAGAAACTTGCAAGTTGTTGTAGTCCTAGACTAGAGTCATTGAAAATTGAAACATCGAAAAACTGTATCTATTACTACTGCAGCCGCATTTGTTATGGTTCAAACAGCAAAGTGACAGGAAATCTTGATTGAGTGCTGTAGTGGCATGATGAAATCGGCTGTTATACTATGCTGGTGCAACTACTAGGTCCCCCGGGGAAAAAGAAGAAGAAAAAGAGAAAGGAAAGCGAAGAGAAGAGACAAGAGGAGAAAGCAACAGGACAAAAAGTGTCTCTACAACACAGCACTGGTCTCATGCACAGCATGGCAAGAATATACTCCATGATCCTGGCCTTAGCCAGGATTTTGACAGATTTGAACGAGGTAACAATGATCGATTGTTTGATGTCTTAATAGGCCCACCGTCCACCGATGCCTTTGAAATTCAGCTACTTTGTTCTACGATTCACAGATTTCCAGGTCCCGCTTTCTCCAACAATGTGATTGGATGGTCCACTGGACCATCCAATCATAATGAAGTGGACGGTAGGACCATCCAATCATATTGTCTCGATATCCTTCGAGGCGGGTGCAAAATAGACTTTGTTGTAGGATGCACCGATTTCCAGGTCCCGCTTTCTTCAATGTGATTGGATGGTCTTGAAATGGACGACAGGACCATCCAATCATATTGTCTCGATATTCTTTGTAGCACGTGCAAGACACTAATCCAGCTGCTTTACTCTAATATGATTGGATGGACCACTGGTCCACGGCTCGATATCCTCGTGGACCACTGGTCCACGGCTCGACTGGCTCGTGGACCACTGGTCCACGGCTTGATATCCTCGTGGACCACTGGTCCACGGCTCGACTGGCTCGTGGACCATTGGTCCACGGCTCGACTGGCTCGTCCTTGCGACCGTTCCGATCAGCATTCACTAAAAAAGTGGTCTGATATTTCACATTTTCAACATTTAATGCCATGTCCCACGAACATTTTATTCTTCTTCGAAGCACTCTTGCGAGGCGGGGGATTAAATTTATTATTTGTACAAAATTTCAACGGGAATCGGACTCTTCATTCGGAATGTCAAAACTCGTATTTCGGCGACTAAGATTCCTTTTTCAGTCTTCCACATATAAGACGGCCGACCAATACGACCTACGTTCCCGGCCGTTCCTGTAGATAGTCGTGAAAATCGAAAATTCTCTGTAGACAATCGTGATTGTGAACAAATAAATGATACTTAACAAAACCACGACCTGTAATGACCTTGGAGTGACCTTGGAACTAGATTAGACCCTTTGGAGGTACAGACATAGCTTTAGGCCTAACGCTCACGTCACTCCTTTCTGTGGCTTTCTGAGAGACTCTATAACTTTTGTTGTGA